AACGTAGAGAAAAGATAAAGGATCAGGTGCAACAGAAAAATAAAAACGCTTGAATGTTGGCTAAAAAGTTTGGTTTTAGGTGCTTGTAACAGATGGACAAGTTTGCAAGTGACAAAAGCGCAACACTTGACAAGTTGATATTAAAAGATACCACTTGCAGCTGATTGTAAGATTATGTGAATTGTTTTATAAGTGACGTGCATGTCGTGTACCAAACATTTTTCTGACTGTCTAAGTTCAGCTGGTGTTCATGCAAATTCTCAGAGTGGAACAAGTATTTCAGAGTATTCCGACACTATGGGAATGTCCCCCTGAGTATGTTCTTTTTAAATGTTGTGTATACACTTAACATAATTGCTCTGCTTTGCCTTCTGCAGGTGCTATGGTGTACCTGAGCAACAGAAGCTACACAGGCGTAGTTCAGTATCTACCAGCAGACCCAATGCTCTCCAGCCCGAGAGACAAAACACGCTGCCTCTCAGGGTAAAATACTCACAACTAATAACATGAAACACACACAAAAAGCACACAACAAGGAATGACTAGCACAAAAGAGATTTAAAAAAAGATAGAAAATAAAACCAGTATGCACTCTAGTTAATACTGTATGTACTGTATGTATTTTGTTGTACATGTGGGTCTGTTTTCACACTTTGTTACAGTCTGTTACTGTGGGAGTGTTATCTATTTTGCAGATTCTTCTCATCATAATATTATCTGTCAAATGCCCAGTATTTACTGTGCAAATGTAATTTCATTTGTAGATTGCCTCTGTCACTGGGTGTTTATCTATTGCATGAGCATCACTGTTCATGTTCTATGGTTTTCAGTATGTGACTGTGACCAGCAATGAGAAGTTTGCATGTTATGTCTCTCCACGAGGTCCAGGAAGGCAAACAGGACTCTTATAATTAGAATAGTGTTCAAGAACAGGGTGCCAGGGCTATGAAACTCTTTGAGCCATTGATGATCAAGCATAAACCAAATCTTTTCCAATGTTACTATTATTATTCAAGCTGGGGAAATGGTTCAAACTCACAGCCTGAGACACTGTAACAGTCACCACCAGTGGCAGGGGACTCAGGTGTTGGGTGTACCTTAAGGAGGGTAGAAACTATGGTGAGAGGAACTTGATCTAGATGTAAGGCGAGCCTTGGTCTCCAGTAATAGTGCACAATACCAACGTCTTTGTTTGCAAACAATTAATGATGCTCTTACAGTGTCAAGGTCAAGGAGCCTGTTATTTCACAGACAGAGACAAGCAGAGTGTAACCCTGTGTTGTGTTGTGTTTGTGTGTGTAGGTGCAGTGTGTGCTCCAGAACCACAGAAAGACTTTTCCCTCATGCCTCAGATTCAAGATCCCTGTACAGTGCCAACAGCCAGTTCAGTAATGAATCAGAAGGTAAATAACACAATTCCCATGTCTGTGTTTTGCATGTTTTAGCCCATAGAGCACAAATCATGCATCATCATCATTATCATGGCCTGTGACCCCTCAGCCTCTCGTCACCTCGCACACTTTGACCACAGTGTCAGATTTCCACCTTAGATTATTATATTTGAATGATTAATAAAGAATTTACTTGGTGACATTAAGCAGTACTTCACCTGGGGGCAAAGATTACAAAAAAACTTAAATACATCCCATCACCCCTTGGGGCAGTCGTGACCCCTCCTCCCCAGAACTTTATGTTTTTAGAATGTGCAGAGACTGAAATGAGCAGAAGATCACGTCATTGCCTTCATGGAGTGATGTGAACGGTCTGGATTGCATCACCACACTGTAATGTAGCAATGCAACAATGGTTGTTCGAAAGGTGAAGAACACATCCAGAAACAAGCCAAACAAGTAAAGTCTGTTTAGTTAAATGGGCAGCAGTGACGTACAGTGACAAGAAAAAGTAATTGACGTCTTTAGAATTACAGTTTGCCTTAAAATATCGTCAGATCTAAATTTTTTCCCATTTATAAACAAACTCAATCATAATCGAATTTTGCTCGCACACAAATAATTGAATTGTTATTGTCCATATTGAATGAAACACACTGAGATATCCCTCAGTCCATAGTACTGTGGTTGCTCCCCCAAAACACAGGTGCCCAGCTAGGATGACTCAAAAAGCACGACTCAGAATGGCCGTGAGAGGTAAAAAAAGAATTCAGTGTACAACTAAAGGGTTAATTGAATCAATAGTTCACATTTTTGTTCATGAGAAAAAAAAGTGTGGCTGAATTTTGCTAAAGAACAGCCCTGCAGAATATCTTTGGTTGACTGATGAAAGAAAGATTGACTTGACATAAAAACACCAACATAAAAAACAACATGGTCATCAGAGGGATGATCATGAAACAATCCTTCTTTGCTACCTCTGTGCCTGGACAGTTGCAGTGAATTCTCAGGTATCTTGCAGGATAATGTATGTAAATGTATAAATTAGAATACTGCTGAAGTAGTACTGTGACAAAAGTGTTCAAAACTCTTGACGTTTGTGCAGGTCTGGAAATATTTGATTTAGGTTATCGCCGTCGTTGGAGGTTAAATCCAAGGGTCACACTTTATTTCTGCCAACACATGGGTGTGTTCAATAAAGAAAAAATATATAATTGTGTGTGTTATTAGCTTGAGAGCACTTTGTCTATGCTTGTGACATAGATGAAGAGTGTTTACATAGATGATGCACAAACAGAAGTGCAGTCGTCAGTGACATCTTTTATTTCTTAATGTTGCATTGTCTCTCTCTCTCTCCAGGTGAGTGGGTGAGTGTGGAGGGCAGCTTCAAATGTGTGTCTCTCACGTGTATGTCCAGCTCATGTCCCAGGAGTCCTCAGGGCCTCTCTCCTTCTGCTCACCTGGCGGATGGAACAGGGGATCTCATCCTGGTGTGGGACACTCACCCGCTGGGCTTCCTCAAGTTCCTCCACAGGCACACAAGCACACAGGACCAGGTACTGTAACCTTCAAAGCTTGGACTTGGAAGTTTGAAAACCGCTTGACCCAATTCTCTCAACTCACTTTTCTTGTAGTTTGACCTGCCTTTTGTTGAGGTCCACCGAGTGAAGGCCATCCGTTTCTCCCTCCCCTCTTCTGGCAGAGAGGAGGAAGCATATGAAGAGATCACAGGGCAAAGTGTTGGGATAGATGAGGAGGAGACATCATACGTTGAGACTGTCAGCAGGAGCGAGTCTCAGCAGCGACTGGCAGAGAGAGGCGCAGGGCGAGAAATGGCAAACGGGCAGAAAACAGCAAACACTTTCCTGTGTGGCCTGTGCTGCAGTAAATCTCCGTCTGTATCAGTGTGGAACTGTGACGGAGAGATCCTGCCTTTTCCTGAGATCCTCTGCAGGTAAGAGAGTGTAGCCTGACCCTGGACTGTACTATCCTGCTGTTATCATATTGTATCGCACCTTCTTTTAAAACTGCGTTCACTTCCCCTCCTTCAGGATTCATGGCCAGTTGGTGCGTCTTTATGCCAGGGGCATCGAAGACAGCACGGCCGCACAGAACTGCAGTGGGGGAAGTGCCAAGTGTGAAAGGAGTTGCATCCTACACAAGTAGTCTCACTTACGAGAAAGAGAGAGAAAGCGTGAGAGAGAGTGAGGCAAGGTTAATTTATGAAGTTACAGACTTTAGAGACTTGTCATGGCCAAAGTGTTCCTTATATTTCAGGTACGTTCTTAGGTTTTCCTGTTGCAGTCATGAAATAAGATTATTTATTCATATATCAGTGTGTGTTTGTTGAAAGCTATTTAAGGACTTTTTAAATGATACATACGTTCATTTGTGGTGCAGTGTTTCTCTGCACAAATCAACTTATTTAACCAAACACTGTATAAACAGTGTGTGTTTATGCAGTTTTTGTCCTGTACATTTTATTTGTGATCAACTGAGTTTCCACAGACAAAAATCATCTTTATACAATAAAAACACTGTTCTGACCATTTCTATGTTTTCTGTGATCAGTATGAGTTCAACAGTTCAGTTCATCGTTGAATTAAGAGAGGCTTCCTTTTAGTTTCTTTAACTCAAGCTCAACCAGGCAGCTGTTACCTCCACCCAGGAGACTACATTTTAACCCCTGTCCTTTTGTTTTAGTTTGTTTAATTGATTGCAACATTACACAAAAACAATTGAACAGAAACTGAAGTTTGAACTGGTGGAAGAATGCAGTATGGGTCAAAGGATTTTCTCAGAGAGTAATTCATAGTTCTTGCATGGTGATAAAAATAAGGCATATTTAGGGAGTTGATATATTTGAATATAAGAAGACTCTTGTTGCCTTGGCAGAGGTATGCTCTCAGCTGAGTGCCATTCTAGTTACATTATTGCATAGTGTAAATGTAAAAAACAACAACATAATAATAGCACATTATGGAACAAATGCAGTAGTCCCAGAAGAAAAGTGAAAACCTTCATCATTGCTCCATGGCCCTCCGAGTACACGGCAGGATGAAGTGGTCTGTTATTGGTCAGTGTGTGTGTGTGTGTGTGTGTGTGTGTGTGTGTGTGTGTGTGTGTTTCCTGTTAGGCCATGCACCTGGTAAAGACAGATATGGGTGATAAGAAACTATATCAGTCTGGTGCAGGAAGTTAAAAACTGATGAAATGTTAAAAACACATTCACACACTGAGTGACTAATTTTTGCAAAAACTTTTCTGTTTGAATTTAGCTTGAAGCATCTACCTGGGAGTTGTTCCTACCTGAAGCAGGAGATTAAACATGTGTCTCCTGTCATTAGGGGAGACACCTGTTCTTACAAACCAGACCAGCATGTCCTTCTGGTAAAAACACTCCTCAGTGCTGTTGCTTTAATGTGTATCACGCTCAGTATTATGTTTTAGCAATGACTATAAAGGCTTTTATTCTTAACATCCAACTATTAAATATTGAACCTTCACTCCAGCCATAACATACAGATGATTAAATCTGACTAAAACGAATCATAAGAGACGATCTATTAGTTGTGGACAGTTCTGTGAAAAAAAGAAAGAAAAAGTGCAGACAGGAGAGTCACAGCTGATTTATTTAGAAACAGAACATTTTCAGGTGAACTTACAAATCAGGCCACTACATTTATGTTTTAGGTCAACATCTATGATTAGGTATAAAAGCAGTGGTTTTCATATTGTGCATGCAAATAAAATTATACAATGGTACAGTGGTGAAAGATTGTACTAAACGTCTGTAAACACTGTTATGTTAGTGTTGAACGTGTTCCTGAGTGTGACAGAAGCATCATGTTGTGTGGGGCTGCACCCACTTGTATGTTCCCTCATAGCGGAATCCTGCTCCCTTCACAAGATCGTCCGCCTCGCTCGGACCACGACTATAGACACAACGAATAAAACAAAGTAAGAAAAATTATATATTTGTACAGGATTGAAATGGATTATCTTCTTGAATGAGTAAGATAAAGTAAGATAATCCTTTGTTAGTCCCACTGCTGGGAAATTTACTGTGTTGCAGCAATGGAACCATGGAAAAATAGAAAACATGAAATATATATAGAATATGTACAGTGTCACAGGATTGCACATGTATATTATTAAAACTATATTGATAGAAAAAGAATAAAAAATGAAATGAGGAGTTACCTTCCGTATGTGTAAGGTATTGGCTGTGTCTTCTTTCCTTCTATCTGGTGAAGCAGTGGGTTGAAGATTCTCCAGGCCTCTTGTAACTCATCACTATGACAGGAAGAGGAACAGTTCAGTTTAAAAAAAAGATTATATTTTAAAAGATGCTGAACTAAATGATTCTACCGACCTGCGGACAAAGTGCATCTGATTTCCACAGAAGACATCCAGTATCAGTCTCTCATAAGCATCTGGGAGGTTCACGTTCTAGAGGAAGATGGCTGCTGTTAGTACAAACTACAAACATGTTTGTTCCAGATTCATCTATAGTGTCTCAACACGGTAAGCTTCACTGAGGTAGGATTACTTTATAGAATTTTGTTAAACACTGTTCAATGTGTGAGACATGGAATATCCCTCAAATCGAGATATGTGTGGATTCAAGAAAATTCTTTAAAGAAGTACATGTTCTCTTAACACAGTGTATGATGATGGATGATATGATGATGGATACTTTGAGCCTGTAGCACCTTGTATCTGCTCTTGTAGGTGAGGTCCAGTTCAGTCTCCTCTGGACTGAAGTAAACCCCCGGCCTCTTGGTCATCATCTTCAGGTAAATGGCTTCATCTGGCTGCACCCGCACAACTAGCTCATTCCTCTGACAGCGGTCGCTAAATATGTCACCTGGCACGTCAGTGAACTGCAGACGCACCTCTGCCTTCTGCTCATTCAGAGCTTTACCACAGCGCAGAATGAAAGGAACTCCTGATGGAGGAGGGGGTGGTACAAGGACAGACACGAAAGGTGGAGAAAGTCAGAGAAGTGGCCATCCGACAGACCCCTAACAGTAAAGTATGAAAAAGGAGAGATAAAAAAATAAATAACTTAGTCTCACCATCCCATCTTTCATTTTGAACATAGAGCACTGCAGTGGCAAACGTTGGTGTGCAGGAGCCTTTTGGTACTGTGGGGTCGTCAAGGTAACCCAGTTTGGAGAGGCCTTCCCCCTCAGGGTCCCCTACGTACTGGCCGAGCACCACCTCTGACATGGCAACAGGAGCTATACTCTTCAAAACCTTCACCTGCACCATAGCAAGAAACACAAACAGGCTTACAATGATGTGGATGTTCTTCACTGAAGACAAACAAACCTGTTATCCAGTCATTGGTTTTACCTTCTCATCCCTCACATCATCAGGGCTGGTGGAAGCAGGTTTCTCCATTGCAACCAAACAGAGCATCTGCAGGAGATGGTTCTGCATGAAGTCTCTGTCCGAAGAAAGAGCTGGAATCAGAGCAAGTGAAAGCTCCAGAGTAACAACGACATTGCATCTAATGTATTTATAAGGCTACATTTATTTGAATGTGCTTCCTCTTACCGAATGATACCAAAGTCATCAAAGTATCCTCCACGGCCCTGAGTGCCAAAAGGCTCCTTAAAGGTGAGAACCACACAGGCTACATTGTCCCTGTTCCATATTGGTCCAAATATGCGATTTCCAAACCTGAAGTGAGATATTAAAATCTCATATATTACATATAGGATTATCCATCCATTCATCTTCTACACTTGTTATCCTTTGAGGTTCATGCCAGGGCTGGAGCCGATGCCACCTGACCTTGGGCGAGAAGCATGGTGGTCTCCTTGGAGAGGACCCGCTCCCGATGTAAATTTGTAAAATGTAGTCAAATATAAATCTCCATTCCATAGTAAAGAAAACAATAATTTGTACAATTTAGATAAAACCCACTAGTGAAAACATCATTATTTTATATTAAATTTCGGCCAATAGATCCCTTTCACCCTAATCTCACACACTGAACCTTTAACCTAAACCCAATCTGCATGTCTCGTGCTTGAAGATGTGTGTGGAGTGTGTTACCTAAGCACCATGAGGTTCTGGACCATCTCTTTGCCCAGGTAGTGGTCTATGCGGTAGATCTGGTCCTCTGTGAACAGGGAGGACAGGTGGGCTGACAGCTCCTGTGAGCTCTGGAGGTCACGCCCAAACGGCTTCTCAACAATTACCCGATTCCAGCCTCTGTTTTACAAACGCAGCGGATCAGAATGACATCATCAAACAGCAGGTTAACCATAGTTTTTATGTAATGAGAGAAACTTGCTTGCAGCTCACGCAGTGGCTCCTGATGTTTGTGCTGACATGGTGGTAGACGGTTTGCGGCAGAGCCAGGTAGAAGAGTCGGTTGGCATCGGCTCCCCCCGGCAGTGATGACAGATGGGCACTAAGTTGGTTGAAGGAGCTGCCGTCATCATACCTGCCGCTCAGGTAGGAGTTCTTCTTGAAGAAGGCAGAGAGACACTCACTCTCTTCATCAGTGACCTGAAGGAAAAGGCTTTAAGATGACGCTTGAAAACACACACTGAACGTTTAATAATTTTCTAATTTAATAGATTAAAGATTTCATAAAAAACATTTAAAATAGCCAGTGAGATTACCCTTTGGGGACAAATAAAGTTGAAAGTTAAGAAGCCTTCGATGTACTACACCTTCATATGAGGCAGACATGCTGTCTTGATGTTCTCCACAGACAGGTTAGACCGGGAAAACCCCACAAAGTAGGTGTTATCTGGGAGCAAGCCATCTCTGAACAACCACCTACAGAGGGAACAAAGTCAGAAGCAGTTATACAGAACACCAGCTAAAGGTCAAACCCCTCAAGATACAAAAATACATGAAACAACTCTGTCCTGCAGTGGTGCATGAGCAGGATTTCTTTACTCACCATAAAGTCGGATAGATCTTCTTTTTTGCGAGATCTCCCTGTGCAAATAATGCAAATGAAGAAGAGATATGATCATGAACCTGCACTGATAATTCATTGTGACTGTAAATCAATCCACAGAGTCTAAAGAGCAAATAAACTTGAGTGGTCACAGGGACGTTGAGAGTCAGTATGTGTTGAGTAATAGGAGAAAACATCAATAAGAGACTTTGCACTCCCAGCTCTGGAATGTCTGTAACATTCAAAATGATTTCTGGTCGCTATAAAAAGAACAGAATAGGACAGTCGATGCAGCACATTTTAGCCAACAAGTGAATTTTGGCTAACACATTTGAAACAGACTGAACCTTTGCACTGCTCTTTGCTATGTTGCTTTAAAAGGAAAAATGTAATTTCAAGTCATTCAGTCATGTCATGTTGTAAGAAGTTTAAAGGTTGTACTCACAGAGGCTCCCAGGACAATAAATATGTGAGTGTCGGAATGACTGGACGGCTCCTCTCCATAGAGCTCCTTCCTGAGCTGTCCAAACACCTCAGAGCGAGTCAAAGGTTCAGTGCTCATCTTGCCCATCTGCTCTCTGCCTACTGTGGCAACTCTTGGCTACGTCACATACACACTATGTTGAAATTTCAATTGTCATCCAAGCCTTGCAGAAATACTCAGCGAGTTAATGCTGCCACCTATTGTTGCAAAGAAAGAAGTACCGTCATGCCACTACTTCCTTATGCTTTATAGTGCCTGTAGCCTCCAGGCACCACAGTTCAGCAGGTTTGTTGTAAAGTACTGATGAAATGTGCAGATTCCTTCAGATCAGGTTTAGCAAACTGAAAGAAATCCTGCTCCTTTACTTTTCACTTAAACTCACAATTCAGGTCCATTCAGACAAAGCTGAAACCACTGGTTGGAATGTTTCTTGCTCAACCACTCCTTCGACAAATGTTGCGCAATCGTAAACTGTGACTAGAGAGAGTCTTAGTGCTTCGTTACAGAACGACCTCTTATCAGTAAATAATCTCGGGCATGACAGCTTTTAAAGTGAGTACTGAATGTGTTTCCATGCAGGCAACGCCACGTTGCTCTAACTCTGAATCCAGACAATATAATAAGTGTTTCTATCAGTTACCAAAACAAGGAATCTGAGTGAATCAGTCTTTCAGGGTACGTTTCATTTGGTAAATCATTATCGAACAATCACTTGGTGAAAACAAAACAGAAAATTCGAGTAAGATCATAAAATTACAAAAAGGTGAAAACAGGTGAAACTTGTTAATAAAGAAGATTTTTCCATTGTTTACCCTCCAGAATTGTTTTTTCTGAATACTCATGATAAAAAATATGAACATTTATTTAGAGGAAATCACTCATCTGACACAAAGTAGGATTTTTAATTAAAAAAAACTGAAACTTCCTTATCTGTAGTGACACTTGTGCATTTTGTCACATTTCATTCATTGTCATGTTCACTGAATTAAGATCATGACAGTTCACAGCCATCATCCTTTGGTCAAGCTCTAACTCGTGCCTGCTACGTCCACACTGTGTGGGGGCAGGGTTTCTCCCATCACCTTTAAATGTCTATCCTGAGATTATATCATAAATTAATTTAAACATGTTAAGATGGACCTTAGCAGCTTCGACAGATGCAACTGTCTTTACATTGTCCTCCTTCTTTTTCAGTCCACTCACTATAGCCAAATGCCCTGAGCTCCACAGCATGAAGTGCTGCTGGCTCATTGTAGGACTGGCTCCTCAGATCCGAGTCTGAGGAGAGGGGGGTAGAAGGTGCCAGAGGTCACTTGGTGGACATACTGGGGTGTCAGCTGAAGGTCCAGTGCTGGTGGAGGTCAGCAGGATTACAATTGTCTATTTGAATCTGGTCTCCTTTCAGCTGTAAACATTTCCCACTGCTGGGATTCTTCAGAAGATTTTCCTGGAGAATAGCATCAGACATAAAGTGAAACAGGCAGGTAAATATTTGGACAGAGGTGAGTAACATCAATATACTCTATAAGCTGTAAGCACTATCTATAATCCTTAAACTCAGTTATTATTATCTCTTGTTTGTAAAAACTCATGTTCAAATACAATATGTGGTTTTGTATGTTTCTGGGGGCAAAAGTCAAATATTTAGCAAACGTATTTAGCTCCCAGTAGTAACCTAACTGTAGCCTTATATTGAGAAGAAGGACATATAGAAGGACAATAATGATATCAAAGTATATTTTCCTAAATGAGCTCCTCACCTCTGTAAAGACCCACTCCTGTTGTGGTGACAAACTGGTGCCCTTCCCCTTCAGCTGACAAAACTCAATCTTCACTGGCGCTGGCTGTGTATTGGCATGAAGACACAACTCCTTTCCAATGTTATGACGCAGCTCCTTATGACTTGAGTATTCAAAATACTGGAGGAGACATTCAGCCAGTTAGAAACCCAACGTGACCAGAGAGCATCAAGTTATCGTCTGTTCTTAATTTCACCAGTGTGAGTCACTGTACCTGGTTGCCTCCCATGTTGTGACACATGTACATGATCACAGGTTTGCCTCCCTGGTTGTTCTCTCCAACATCCAGACAGGTTTGAGATCCTGAGTTTCTTAGCTGGTGCAAACACAGATGCATAGTAACAGTATGATTCGGCTGCACATGTGAGCTGTTCTCAGTTGACACATAAAGGGAAATATGACTTACTGCTCCAAATTTTTCTGGTGTTAAGTCTGGAACAAAAGCCTCTGGGTAGATTGTGTTTAGGAACCAGGTGAAGTTCTTGCATTGCAGCTGCTCTCTTAGTTTCAAGCGATCGGAGATGTCCCCATACTTATGCTATAACAGTGAAGTGAGTAGTAAGAGTGTCAATTCTGAGTTCAAATGTGGGAGAGGTGAGAAGAAACAGCATTGTATCCGTGTGCATTTAAAATTTGATCGCCGTCGACAGGTCACACTCACCTCACTGGCCATAGTTGCAGCGTTCTTGTTGCGGCGGTAGAAGATGTGCTTGTAGTCGTCCATCCAGACCTCGGCCAGGCGCACCTGGTTACGAGTGATGACCTCTGTGCCTTTGGGGAACGTGTGGGGGCTCTTGGTGCGGAAGACATGGCCCACCACAGAACAAGGGATGATCTCCAGCTGACCCCCACACTGCCACACCTATGAATCACATTTGACACTTTGCAATACAGACTCTAACTTTATCACAAGAGGGAGAGTTACAATGTAATACAGTATGAGGAGTAAAAACAAAGAGACTGACCCTGAATGACATTTCCACATTTTCACCTCCCCAGATCTCCATCTTGTCATCGTATGTACCAATGTGTTCAAAGTATTCCTTTGAGATTGAGAAAAGACCTCCAGCAAAAGTAGGCGTCCTGAAAGTTTAACAGGCAAGTACAAAAGCTTTAGGCACTTCAAATGACTCAGGGGTTTCAAGTGAAAGAAACTCGATCCCTCTTACTTTACAGGGCAAGTTTCATCCTTGCGCAGCTTCTTTGCATCCTCTGGGATTGCCTCCCAGCCAAAAGTCAAGCTCCAGTCAAAGTTCCCTCTGTTGTAAGCGCGGTTGGTGGCCACAGGCCTGTGGAACTGGAAGCTGCTGAGGTCAATGGTGGTGATTTCTGGACTCACAACAGCAGTGGGCTCTTCAACAATGCGGGCCAACAGGGGCTCGAGCCATCCTGGCCAACACTCACCTATACACGGGAAGTAGAGAGAGATTTTACTTCCTTTTTAACTTCTGCCATATATGAATCATTTTACCGCAAATAATCAGAGTGCTATTTTTGCATCAGAATAGGCAGCAATGAGAAAAAAGTCATAGAATATGTCTAAGTTATATGAACACAGGCCCATTTTCTGGCCTCACACATGTGTCTGTCTCTCAAACTTGCTGTAAGCACTCTCTCCCTCATATATGTAATTTTAAAATATACTTAGTTTTAATTGTGTATTGAAAGGAAAGACTTTCAAATTATCCAAAAACTTGGATGGACATCTCTGGCAGAGATATTGATTAACATGGCTTAACATGAGGCTGGGGGGTTGTCGTGTGTGTTTTCTTACAGTGTGCATCGAGAAAGGTGAGAATTTCTCCCTGAGCGAGACTAGCACCCAGCAACCTTGCTGTGATGAGACCCTTCCTTTCCACCTGCCTCACTACACGGACGATCTTCAGCGGACGCACATATTCCTCCAGCTGGAGCTTCAGGTGCTCTGCGGAGAGAAAAAATAATTATCAACTGTTTCTCAACTTGAAAAGAAAAAAGTTTCCAATCTAAAAAAGTCGTCTTAGATGAGCTCTGGTGATGGAACATCTCACTTTGCTGCAGTGTGGCTAGACATATGAGAGCACAGTGTTTTTTTTCTAACTTTTTCAAGAGTCTTTCAAATTTCTTCTTGCACAGATCAATCCAAGTGCAGAGGAGAAAGAAGAGGTGAGTGCTGGAAATCTTTCCAAGTCACAAAATATCTGAGTACAAGGGCACAGTTTAAGCACAAGCAGAGCAAATCTAAGCACAGCAGGGTATACTTGAGTGTGAGTGCAGGGTTTAGTGTTAGTTAGATATTTTGTGAAGTGAAAGCATTAAAAATTATTCTAAATTTGGAATGTCCTGCTCTCAAACTGAAAGACCACACTTTTGGAATAGAGTGTGGTCTCATGTGCAACAGACTATAAACCTCAAACCAGAAGTTGTCATGGAGACAATCACTTGCCTGGTATTAAATAAAGCATAACAAAATTAAATTAAGTGGAGACCTTGCTGGTAAAACTGGGTCACACTTCCCCTCAAAGAGTGCTTACGACCACGAGGCACGCCTCACCTTTCTCATAAGTTTTAGCTTGAGTGAACCCAATAACCACATGTCACAACACAATGAGAAAAAGCCGTTTCTCTGCTGACAGAAAGGGGAAGTAAGGGTAAAGTAGGAAACGTGTAAATACAGCTGAGGGTAACGGCTCTTTAGCTCATAACTGATGATAACTGAGAACATTTGAATTTGGATTTTTTTCCAGCTAATAAGCAAGTAAACACAGACATACTTCATGACAAAGTTTCTGTTTCGTCTTTTCTTCCAACTCTTACTGTGGCTGTGTAGCCGTTGGAATGTTAGATGTTCTCCATCTTTCTGTCATCGAGTCAGTGCCACCATTGCAACTTATGTTTCACTGAACCCAGAGTTGTGGACATACATGTGGCACAGTGACACTATGAAACCTGACTCTGTTGTCTCTATACACATACAGCCCAATTGAAGTCTCTTTTGCAATTTAAAACAAAACCCTACCTGCTAACTACTGCATTTGCATGCTGCACATATAAAACACCCTTGTATGTTATCTTATCAGAGCACACTCCTAACTGTGACTGGAATGCTGACCTAAAAACTAAAGTTCAAATTGAATTAATGAATAACATTATCTTATTTTGTTTCTCACTGTGTGCTCTGCAGTTGATCTTGAATTATATCAGTATTATAAAAAAAACTGTTGATTTTCTTTCATAATGGTTAAAATGTCTAGCAAGCCCCATAGACTGTAACTGTCAATATTAATCAAGCTTTATTGTTAGTTTCAAACATTCTTTCCACACTAACAGCAAAATAAAGTCAAATTAAGAAAGTGAATGTTAAATATTGTGAATGAATGATTAATGACTTTCTATTAAAAAAAATCCTGCAATGAAGCACTGGCCATTTACAGCATCCACCATGTTTTCTGTTAGCAGAAACACTAAGACTAAACAGTTCTCCTTAATTTATGAGCCTGAAAAAGAGCATGGATTAGAAAGAATACTGGGATAAAACTGCCTCTCCCATTGTCACCCAGCGGATGAACAAAGCAGTCATTTATCTTTGCTGTCAGTGAGTCTTTTGAGTATGCTTTGGCATTAGTGTGTACCTGCAGTACTTGCGTCATCTACCATGATGATCTCTTTGAGCAGGACTGCAGGAGAGGTGTGCAGAACACTGAAGACCGTCCTGAGGAGCGTGGACCAAGCCTCATTGTGGAAGACGATAATAACGCTGGTGCTGGGCAGAGGAGGACAGCGGCGGAACTTTCTCTCCACGCACCTGAGCGAGGAGAGCCACGTAAAGACAAATAGAGGGACAGAGAGAGAACAAGAACTGCCGTGAGAGAAGAGTGTGAAAGAGAATAACAGACCATTGTGTGCAGATATTCAATGTCTGCTCACTTTAAATAGCTCAATGTGCAGTCATAAACAGTCCGCTCATTAAAAACCACTTGAAAGCTCTATAAAACAAACAGTTCAAGGCCCATCAAGCCAGTGACATGTTTTCATGCCAAGTTGGAAAAACATTTCCAGTGAGTGAAAATGTTTACAACAACTCAGATAATGCCTCTGTCTCAACTATCAGGGATACTGACATGCACGCTGCTGCACTATGATCAAGGCTAATCTGAACGTGAAGGCTGTTTGAATGTGAGCTCAATACGAAAATGCATGTAAATAATAATTGACAACCCAGAAATGGAAAAAGACATTATCTGGCCTGTGCTGTGTACACATCAGCAGACTTGTCGGTGAAACAGAGATTAGTCTTAACTATCTGCAAATACTCTGCTCTTACTCCACAGGCCTTGAGTCATCCCCGAGACTACGGCTGAGTGAGATGCGGTCGCTGGCAAACTGGTTGAAACAGTGCCGCGTCATACCCTCCTCCTTCTCCTTCTCCTCCTCTGGGCTCATATGGTCTTTTTGGAATGCCTTCCCATCAGCCCCAGGGCTGTTGGGGTCCTGCAGAGGTCTCTCCAGGTGAGGCTTGAGTTCAGCTTGTGTGTAGAAGCCAGTAGGGCACTTGACGTCCTGGGTGGGCTGCTCCTGCTCAGGCAGCGGCTGCGGCTGCGGAGCTTTTATCTGGAAACCAATGTTGTTGACGGCCTCTCGGACCATGACCAACATCTTGTCCTTCTTGTCCACCAGCTCCTGAAACCAGGGGTCCCCTTCAGGCGCAGAGCCAACATCCCTCTGCAGAACCACCAGCACCACCAAGAACAGAGTCCCACCGAGGATCACCAGTTTCAGAGGGGACATACGCCGGCGTAGAAACAGCCGCATCTTCCAAATAACTATGTTGCTCCCAGGGCTGTTGAAAGCAGAAAGAAAAACAAAAGTAATTCCCCAGAAACTGACTGTAAAAGGTTTGTGAACATTTCAACTAATCTCTGTAAAAACTAAAATCATTCACAACCCTTTGCTATCTATACATCCTGTGAGGTATTCCTGTGGCAAAAAAAGAAGACAAGCAACAACGAGGTATCTTAAATCGGTTTGTGCTTCTTGGCTACTGTCATAGCAGCAGGCGATCCAGCCAACCTCCCTGTGTCTTCAGGAAACAGTCCCACAGGGCCGGCAGAGCGAGCAGGGAGGAGTAGGAGGAGGAGAAGGAGGAGGAGGAGGAGGGGGAGAGTGAACAAACACACCACACCTCTGAACCCACACCTGAATTCACCTGCTCCGGCCACAGATCCTCCAGGACCCACGTGGCAGCAGGTGGGCTGCAGCACTGCTTGCTCAGGCTGCAACTCCCATGCCTGTTAATAAGTGACACAAAAGTCCTCAGACACCTGCTCCAATGACACCTCACCAGCAATGATCAGCTGTCACCTGCTAACGGGAAGTAGAGTCTGCTACGTGGAGCATGACAGGACCAAGGCTCGCCCCTGACCTGAAACAATGGAAGGTGGTTTTGTGCTAAGTGGAACAGGATATTGTTGCAATACAGGACATCTTGTGTGATCACTGTTCAGTTCACTCTTACTTGGTCATAATTAATTCACTCTATTCTCAAGTCAGCCGGCCTTCCTCAAAAGAGGACGCTGTTGTGGTGCTCCAGGAAGTTGAAACAACCTCAGACACAGTTGAGGTGAATGTTCAACCTGTTAATCCAGTTGGTTGTCACCACAGTTATGACGAGGAAGAGGGAAAATATGTGAATAGCTTGTGGGCTTGTAATTCTGGAGTTACCTGCGAAACACCATTATATGTCCCACAGGGTTACTGCACAGGAGGGGTTCATGTCCCATTCATCATTTTAGTAAGACATAAACACTTCTCTTCAGTTTGGAGGCACATGAAGACAAACAACGACATCACTCAGACTAAAATGAAACACAAAGAGTTGTTTCCTCCTTTCATTTAGATTCTGTGCAGCTCTGAACATCAAGTTCTCATGGGTAGAAATCACATGTTAGACAGATACACGAGCTCCTGACTGTCAGTGATGACAGTGATGGACAGCTTTACACCTCGTCTACACGCAAACACTTACCTACAAGAGTCGCAGTTGTCTCCAGCTGTTGTTGCGATTCACTCGATACTTCCTCACGGGTGGAAAGTTGCCAGACGAGCACGCGACAGTGTTTCCAGTTCCGTGAAGAGGCAGAGAGGAACAGTTCAGAGACAGGGACACACACAGAGAGACACACGTAGAGAGACACTGAGACTGACACAGAGCAGTGTCCTCTCAGTGGTCCTGAGATCACAACAGGTGTCATCCAATGAAATGATTGGCTGGAGTCCCCTGCTGGTGGCGCGCGCTCTACGCATACAGTTCATTAATGATACATACATACATATATATATATATATATATATATATATATATATATATATATATATATATATATATATATATAATATAAGTACATAAATATATATAAATATATTTCTCTACATATGTAGATGTATTAATTATATCATATATATGTACATCATACATATGATATAGGTCACTTTATACTACATATATATCATATATAAATCATTTCATGTGTTTGCATCATATACATACAAACACACATACACACATACATACATACATACACACATACATAACCACATACATACATACATATATATATATATATATATATATATATATATATACATACATAAATACACACATACATACATATATATACATACATACATACATATATACACATGCACATACATATACATACGTAAACACATACATACATACATTCATATACACATACACACATACGTGTTTTGTATGTTAAATGTGTAATGTCTCTCTCTCTCTCTCTCTCTCTCACACACACACACACACACACACACACACACATTTCCAGTGTATGAGATTCAAGGTCTCTGTATCATGGGCCTGCTACAGTAATGTTGGTGCTTTTTCATCAGGGATTAGGGGGAATTTATGTCTCTTAATTAATGATCAGCATAGAGTGCTGTAAGTGAACATTGCCATTGCCTCAACAGAAATTCATTATTCATGTGGAAGCAATTAAATACTCTCTCCTGTATGGCCCTCTTGAAATTGTAGACTGATTTATTCAGAAACTGAGAAGGAGATGTCTCTCAGGTTACCATCACAGAGAGAAATCTTGATTGCAGGCTGCTGATTGACTTGAGACTTAAGCCGTACTAAACCAACACCACTAAGCAGGCTAAAGCTTTGTGTTGTGAAGTGCACTGTGTGAAAGATGCAGTGTTTGGTTTCTGTAAATATCCACAGGATCTTTTTAAAACAGCAATATTTCATAATAATAATAATAATATTAATGATTTAATAAATATGTTTAATGTAATACTTTCACCAAACAAACTGGATGTAGAGAATCTCAGAGAAGCCACAGAAAACAAACCGACAAAATTAACACAATCAATGCAAAAACAGCTATTTATTAATTTCTTATCTAAGGGGAAATGAATCAAATCAGTCAACTCTGTCACTTCTTAAAGGAAAATAACAGCATGTCTTGGTAACCTTTTGTTTTAGAGACAGAGAGAAAGAAGCAGAAGTGAGGAACTTTTTTATGGCCTTTAAAGGCAACATTTTTAGGCTCAGACAGAAAACTGAGTATGTCAACACCAGGTGTAAAACTGATCTGAATGTAAAATACTCTTTCACTTCACACACAAACATGAAGCCTGATCAATTTGGCCTCTTAATACAATGATTCATCTTCTTCAGTCCCAAAGGCAAAGTAAAGAGTGGTTTCCTTCAGTAGTAGTTTCTTTGTGGGCAAAAAATATATATATATTAAATTACATTCATATGATTTTTGTTTTGAACAACTTTTGAGGGGCTACAAGCCACCATGTGCCAAATACATGTCAAATACTGTAGTGTAAAGTTGTGAATATTGGTCCATGTAGTAGTTGGACCTCAGAACTGCAAAATCTCAAGGCAATACTAGTGAGCAGATTTCTGGCACACATTAAATCCCGAAGCTGTCAGGAAACCAGTTTATGTTCAAACCTTTCTAACAAAATCTAAGATAAAGCTTTTGTAAGCTTTTGCTTATTCAGGCTGGAATGAAATCAGTCCAAAAAAAAAAATTACAGTCCAGTAAAAGACGCAGACATTGTTCTCCTAAAATGATCGTTTTTGACACAAGAAATCAGGAATGGACGCACGACTCTAAAATAATACAAAACATGCCTCGCAGCGACCGGTTTGGCAAGAAAGCATTGTCATACAGTATCATAAAAACCTCACAGTGAAAGGTTACAGTATGCCCCTTTATAGGTAAAGACCAGCATTCAGTTATGTGTGCTGACACCACGCGCACACACACACACACACACACACACACGCACACTCTCATACACAGACACCCGCACACACACTTTTATAAAACGTTGCAGATCTGTTTGACAATCTCCGGAGTACCATGACAATAATGCATCTGTTCTTCAATCATCTCCTATGTCTTGTTTTTGGCTCGAACCAAGAATACATTGCAGAGAGAGAGTAATCAATCACACATTTCAGTGAACCACAAACAGTCTTGTGTCCAGACTGTGGCTAATCCCAGGCTGGAAGAATCAAAGAAGGCCCTGATAAGAAACACAAATGTCCAAGCTAGTTTGTTGTGAGTTAGTGTTGTGTGTTTACATATATAGATATATATGTGTGTGTGTGTGTGTTATCCCCATGAAAAAATCCGCAGCTAAAAAAAGAAAAGTTTGTCCCCATCAAAGACAGTGACGTTACCGTGGCCCTTGCTGTCTGCAGTTGAATAAATTACTGCATTTTCTGAACAGAATAATTTGTGTGTGTGTTTCATATCAAACATTTGTTCTTTGGTCATTTTCATCCTTCATATTGTCCTTGCATATTTTCTGTTAAGTGACATAGCTTTTTTTGTATGTAAATATTTTCATTTTTGTACAAGGTTATCACAAAAAAATCCATCCTCATGAAAATAAATATTGACTCCAGATGAGATACTCATACTATTGCTCATCAACACAAGCATAGCCACCTCCGTCCTAAGGCAACTGGGCTTCGTTATCTCTCAAGCAGCTTGGGGTGGGGTGGGGGGGCCTTCAAACGTGAACAACGTCCTACGTGTGTGCATCTAATGATGTGACAATAGGCGAGAAGGGCCTGGCTCGTCTCTGCCGGCCATCTCCCGTCCCTGGCGCGTTCGCACCACGCTCCGTTGCTCGTCGCCGGGCTGAACTCTCAAGTCTCTCTGCTGCTCTCTGTTATGTCAGTGCAATGGGAGTCACTCTGTGGGCAGCCCCGCTCTGTCATTAACTGCCCGGGGGACCGCTGGTGAGGAAGTAGGTGGTCATCTCCCCCTTCCCCTTCACCTTGACGACACCTCGGCAGTCCAGCTGGTATCCGTTGTTGACCAGCACGTGGTACAAGTCTGTGGTCACCTAAGAAAGGACATGGACATTTGACACCCGAGAGGTGAGTCACTCAACCCTGCTCAGGAGAAACTCTACCAGCCATTATGATATTGAACAATTCTCCAAAAGCACTATGATGGAGGGATAACATAAAAATAAAACATTATATATTATGAATAGATAATAGGCTTCAAGAATGGTATGTTTCGAATAAGATTAAAGCAAAGTAGATCTAAATTACCAACTCTTTTACTTCTAAAACTAATAATAAATGAGTATTGGCAGAAAATGACTTAAAGGTACAATGTGTAAGATTTAGGTGAAAGGGAACTATTGGCAGAAATTTAATGTAGAATAATCCTCATGATGTTTTCATGAGTTCGTTTCATCTAAATTGTATGAACTGTAGTTTTCTCTACCCCAGAAAAGTCCCTTTATATTTAAATACTTTATATTCAAATACTTACATTTAAATCGAGGGGACCCTCTCTACGGAGGCTGCCATGTTTTTTACATTACTGGACAAACTAAAAACCAATTTCTACACTAGATATCAAACAATTCTACACACTGTACCTTTAAATATGAGGATATGGACTATTCTCTCTTACATCATTGATTATATTTGATTTCAGACTACTAGTCTATTATGTTTATAATATACAATGTGCTAATTCAAGAAAAATCCTCAAAGATAATGCAAACTGAACTATTCAAATGACGAATAACTATTACCAAAATTTAGGGAGCTGATTCAACAAAGTTAAATCAAACAAGCAAAAATGTCAATTATTCTCATGTTCTACCTGTTTTAAAATATAAACAGACATACATCTGAGGTGCATTTTCCTCCATCTACGTTTCAAAGGCTAAATATTAATCAGTTATTAAAAAAAACATCAGATGAAATGACAGACGATCATTAGTTACAGTCCAACTTTTTACATGCTCTCTTGCAGTGGGCATTTTGCAGTAATTCTTACTGTACAACAGATGGCAGCATAATTCTGTCTGTGCTCTTTCCAGCAGACAATTTATGGATTTGATTTTAGGGGCGGAAAAATCTCACTGCAGCTCTCAAGACTGGTGTAACTCACACTTTTCAAAATGTGTCTTAACATCTACTTCTATAAATAAGAGGGTGAATGAGACTGTGGGAATCTTGTCCTTAACTGAGACTCGTTCTCTGAGGAATTAGCGATGGCTCCGAACTATGGTTAACATTTTCCTGCCGAAGATGACAACACTGTAGCAGTTGAACGGCCTCTGCAGGGAATTCAAATTTAGCTCTCTGCCCTCCTCCAGAGGGACATCAGAGCGCCGTTTATGCTCGAGAACAGCACATCCAGTGCTGACAGGCAATCCTGCTCAAGGGCACTTCTGCAGACCAGATGTCTAAATCCTTAAGCTGAAGGACTGTGTAGCGACTGTATCTGTAGCACTGGTATCTGCAGTGATATTCTTATAAAGAGCGGAAGCAAATGACCTGGTCTCTTTCAGACACCAAAACTGTATATTATATATGTCTGCAGTTTTTAAAATATGCAAGCACAAAAGGTTGTGTACGATTTGGGTAGGAATAAATAGAGATGACGTACATTCATGTTTGAACGACTGCTGATAAGATCATAATGACTAGTTTAACTGGATTGTTCTTTCTGCATTGGCTGATTCACTTGACCTGAATATGCAGACTGCTTCTTGTGAAGTCCATGACATGTACTGTACCTGGATGTAGTCTGGTACTCCTGTGCTGTCCATGCGGCTGGCCACGTTGACTGTGTTCCCCCATATATCATACTGGGGTTTCCTGGCTCCAATCACCCCTGCCACCACAGGCCCCATGTTCAGTCCTGAGAACAAATCACCTCGCTATGTTACCTCATCGCAGTTACACCACTTTTA